GCTGACCCCCGCGGGCCACCGTCCGCCGCGCTGCGCGCGCACCACGTGACCGCGCGCAAGAGGACGGCCCCGCGTCACGTGGGCTGGCGGGGCGGAGCCACGCGGGAAAGGGGAGGGCCCAAGAACCGGGGTGGGGGGAGCTCCCCCCCGGCAAGTCCCGCTCTTCCGCCTCTGCGCATGCGCGGAGTCCCCGCGCGCAGGACTGCGCTTCCCAGCGTGCCCCGCGGCGCCGGCGCTACCACCGCGGGGGGCGGGGGGGGCGGCGCGTTCCATTGCGGGGGAGGGACGGGGACGAACTGGGATCAACGGGAGGGAAAACGGGGGCCCTGGGCGAGCAGGGAGCACCGGGAATGGGAACGGGAGCACTGGGAAGGCGGGTGGGATTTGCCGGGGGTAACTGGGAACAATGGAACAGAAATGGGGGCACTGGGGGGCRGCTGATTTCTCCAAGATCCCCGGGCTCGTCGGAGCTTTTTGCTCCTTTTTTTCCCCTTTTCCCCAGGAAAATGCCCAGGACATTTTCCTCGGAAGCTCCAGRACACTCCCAGGAATCGGAGGGGCTCCAGGACCCCCCGCGGCTCCCGCACCCCCGAACAAAGAGCCGGAGAGGTCGCTTTGCAAGAGGATTTTATTCAAAAAAAAAAAAAAAGAAGAAAAGAAAAGGAATAGTGGGAAGTGTTTGGGCTGAAGGAGCGGAGGATGAAGGGGCCCTGGCGGCTGCAGGAAGCGGGATCTGTCGGTGCTCCGGGCGGCAGCCGCTCCGGCCGCTGCCCGCGGGATGGGGAGCTCCGGCGCCCGCGGAGCCGTTGGGGAGTCACGGGGAGGGTGACGGAGCCGAGACCCGGCTGTCCGGGGAGGCTCCTGCTCTGGAGATCTTCAAAACCCACCTGGATTTCACCCGCGAGCGGGAAGGGGGCCTGGATGATCCCTAGGGATCAACCGCCAACCGCGACYGTCTGGGATTCTGCGACACCGGCGGAAACGGGGCGGATTCGCGCGGCGGAACCGGCAGCATCGGCGGCTAGGGGGGGGACAAAAAACCCCCGGGGGACAAAAACATCCCAGGAGGCGACGCGCGGATGCGGCAGCTCCGAGGTTTTCGGCGGCTCAGGGCGGAATCGGCGCCGCTGCCACCCCGTTTCCACCCGCTTTTCCGGACCGGAGCGGGAACGCCAAGCGGCGGGACACGGATTTCCCAGGGCGGAAGTGAGCGGGGGCCGGAATTCCCACCGGAACCCCAGGAAGCCGCGCCAAAAAAAATTTTAAAAAGGAGAAAAAATAAGGGGAAAAAAAAAAGAAAGAGATATATATATATTTTTTTTACATATAAAAACAGCTCCGGGGAGCGTCCGGGGGCGCCCCGGGCCGCGGGCGGGCAGGCGGCGCCGCTCCGGGGGCCGCCCGTTAAATAATTATGTACAGCGGGAAAGAGTCCGTGCGGCGGCGCCTACTTGACGAGCGGCCGGGTCTTGTCGTCGTCGCTGCACTGGTGGGCCTTGTACTTCTGCACCTCCGCCATGTACTTGGCCCAYGCGTCGCCCTTGCTGCTCAGCACCTGCGGCACACGGCGCCGCGTGGGACGGGGGGATATGGGGGGAACGGGGTGGAAACGGGGGGGATAATGGGGGAAATGAGGAGATAATGAG